AGATTATCTAGTTTGTTATGAGAACGAGGTGATATATTTCGGTCGCTAAAATCTCACAATTTCGGCCCTAAATAAGCAAATTTGCAATCGATGCTGAGACTATAATTATTTGTTTTCTCAGTCTTCGAAGCGGACTGGCAAATTTCTAAAAGATATTACTCTGATTTATTATCGATCACCTTAATCGAAAAATTTACCGCTAACTTTTTTCCTAGGTCACATATGGCCGTTTCTAACAGCATGAACGGCTTGGTCATCGATCTACTTTCCTCTTCGTCTTCGTCTTCTTGCAACCTATCCGATTCTGAAGTTCGTACTGCCAAGCGATCCCGTCGAAAGTGTAAGCGGTCTGATTCCGTTCGGCAAAGCACTGTGTCGGAACAAGAACTACAATCTCGTGCCTCAATTCCGCCAGTTGCAGGCAGCGATGAGGACCATGTTGGCCTAAAGTTGTCTGCTAACAGAGCAATATCATACCCCTCGACATCGTCTCTCAACGTATCACCATCCGATACCTTGCCAAATTGCTTATCTGACAGCGTTACACAGTCTTCGCGGCGAAGTAGCCTCGTTCCAGCCAAACCGCCACCAGCTGCATCTACCACAGTTGGAAGCTTAATGGACACCGACTCGAGGACTACAGGGTTGGTATTGACGGAAGCTTCCCACACATCCCTCAATGCAGCGTTGGAGTGCAGATCTGCTCAAACAGAGTCGACTTCATCTAAGAGCATACACCAAAGTCCTGATCCACAGAGCCTTTATCGACAGGCTAACCAGATCACAGGGGGGGCGCTGGACATTTCTGGGATTTCGACTACCTCAGCCAGTGGATTGCGGTCCTCGCCGATTTCTACGCTTTCCGCAAATCGGGTTGGTCATCCCAGCAGTCTCAAGCCAATTTTACCGAAAAGTAAGCGGGAAAATTAATAGCAAACATTATTTTGAAGTTAGGACACGGATTGATCTATCTTATAATTTATCATTTAATCAGTAGTTGAATATATTAACATTGTTGTTTTGATGCTTAATTTTTCTAAGAGTTGGTTGACCTCGTTTTCGCAACTTGGTCTTGTGTTCAGGGAGGCTATGTAGAACGCACCTAGTCCGAAGTCGTCTGCCATAGTAGTCTT